AGAAGAATTAGGAATTTGAGGGCTACTCAGTAAGACCTTTTCAAAGGGGAAAAAATAGCTGGGTGTGATGGCACACCTTTAATCCCAGCACTCTAGAGGCAAAGGTAGGCAGACCTCTAAGTTTGAGATCAGCCTCGTCTACAGAGCAAGTTCCAGGACAGTCAGGGCTACACAGAGAAACGCTGTCTTGAAAGAAAAAGAAAATCAAAGAAACAAAAAGATAATTTTAATGAAGGTATATTAGAAAATTTTAGGAAGATTAAAATTAAAGTGAATATTAGTGCTGTGTACATAAGAAGGAGACTAAACCTCACAGCTCTGATGCTTTCTTATGGCTTCTTTTCAATAGAGGGTTTGGTAGGTACAAATTACTATTGATACTACTGTGCCTTCAATCTGTCTCTATAACTATTAAAGTACATAAAGGATCATCTGCTGATAATATTTATGCTCAATATAATTGTGATAGATTAAATACATTTAGGGATGGACTCTATTTTATAGGTAAATGTTGTGCACAGTTAGTTTTGAGTCATCAAAAAGTGCTCCACAGATCTGTGGCATAAGAGGGGTCTGTTTGCTATTTACTATAGGTCAGTAAGTCAACAGGGCCTTCCTCCATCTGCATCACAGAAGAGGAGTGGTTTTGATGATTACATATTGTTTACCAAGTTTTAAAATGTATTTCCTAAATCTTACTAGCAGTAGAAATAGCATTGGTTCTTAAAAAATTTTTTAAAAAATTAAATCTTAACACTAAAATTAATTGGGCACCATTAACCTATCTGGAAGAACAAATGAATTCAAAAGTGTTTCAACATTCACTGGTTAAAGCAAGGGTATATAAAGTTTTCTACTCACCAAATATGCTACATTTTTAAATATTTTTAATTATGAAAATTATAAGGCTTCTCAGAATATTTAACTGAGAACAGCGTGCAAACAAGAACTAGAGGCCTGGAATCTGTGTTTATTATGATGCGGAGCACATTTTTCTCTGATGTTAAGTATCTCTCCTTCAGCATTGATCAACTTTTCTACAAATTCATGGAGATACTTAGAAGATAGCCACAAATCTGGATGGTCTCCATTTGTTGTTTTTAGTAACATAAAAATTGAAGTTTTTACAGAGAAAACTACTTCCTTCTATGTGATCTATAAACCACCCGACAACAACACTTGAGATTTTCCACTAAAAGCAGTGTTCTAAATTCTAAACTTAGTAAACAAGCAGAGGCAAGCTTTTTACCAGAAAAAAAGGCTGAAAATATTAATCAGATCATTCAAAATCTAATATTTCTTTTTCTTTTCCAAGCACAATATCACAATAGTATTGGTCGATAATTTTTATTAGAAATCAAGTTTAAAATATGCTAGACTTTAGGGTTATAGAAGCCATCGCAAACACTGCAAACACTGTCTATCAGCCTTGCTAAGGTCACCCATCAAGGAACACTTGATAGATATTGGTGGTAGACTGATTTTCATGGCACATATAAACTAAGGTTAATCCATACCTTCACTAGCTTCTATAGGCAGTAATTCAGAATACTATAAATGTGTCATCATGTACAGTAGCTAGGCAGGACATTTAGGATGCAATAACCACAATGTCCATAATTTTATTTGAAATTATTTAATAAAAAATATACTCATAAAAATCAACCACATACAGCCATGGAGGGACATAAAAGAAATGTGGGAAATAGCAACAGTGTACTATTCTTTCAACATAGAGGTCTGAAAACAATGTGGATATTTTAAATGATAGTTGAACCTCATTAATTTATCTTAAAAGCAGAAGAGTATTTCTTAATTTTAAAATGTACAGTGTCTATAATCATAAAGAGATCCAGCATTTTCCATTTTCTTTTAAATTACGTTTCATAGTTTATTGGGTGTTTCACATTTTCAATTTTCTTTGCATTAAATACTAATGTTTTCCATCTGAACTAGCTATGAATAATTACTACTACCAATTAAAATGAAGTACATATGAATTCCAGACTCCAGTCTTCTTACAATGTGCTTTCCTTTTGTATTTTCCACTCCCAGGCCTCTCCCTAACAGTCACTGTGGTTAGTTACATTCTCAATGTATCTATGCTCTTAATACTAAGGACAGGTGTCTCTCACATTTAATTCACATTTTAAAACCCGGGAGCACTCAATGTATAAGAAAACTCTCTCTAATTATGCATGTCTTACAGAAAATAATAAACAGTCATGGTTTTGTTTTCTTGTGATGGAGGGATATTACAAAAAAAAAAAAAGTAGGTGTTACATTGAACCACAGACACCAAAGAAGCTAGGGTTCGTTATGCTCTGATGTCTTTGCATTTTTTTTCTCCCGATTTGCAAAATTGAGTGCTAATATTGAAGTCAGGAAGGCACAAGGTAAAGAGCATCACCTGCTCTAAAAGCATCCTACTTTCCCTACATGCACTGCTGCAGCTACTCATTAAGGCAAGGTTTAGGAGATTTCTGTTCATTGTTGCTTTTATTAGATAATAATGACTGATTTTTTTCCTAAGTGTATTTAAACAATATGTTTCCCATCAGAAAATTAAAAAAATAAACTTCTCATGAACATAGCTTCTACCAAACACCACACTCTCATTTGATCATTGATTACTTAAAATTTTCCTCTACTTTCATGCCATGAAAATCACTTCAAAGTGTACATTATATAAAAGTTTACATTTGGAAAACATCTGGACTGTCAGGTTATCTGGGGGCTTGCTTCGTATTCAAGGGCATTGTTGAGGTGGTATATTCGCAAAGGATTCACTTACCATTCTCTGTCTGCATCAAGTAGCCCCCAAACAAATGGGGCTATTCACTACTACCATAGAGAATCAATAAGCCTGTGGTTCATTTGTTAAGACAATGTAAATTAGTAACTTCCAGCCAGATGTGTGATACACACATCAAAGGAATGGCAACCTGTTCGTTATGGAAATTCTGTCAACACACACAGAGCCAAATGATGACATTTCATCTGAAACAGTTTCCAAATTTGCAACTCTAAAAATTGTTCTGAGACTTTCTATACAAAGAATTGGAGCTTAGACTCATAAAAAGAGTAACCAACATCAGCTTCCCATCTTGTGTGCCTGTGCATATATGCTTCTTTGTGTGTGCTTCTATTTTCAGCTGGGGTGCATTACATTCAGTAAATGTGTGCCATGCTAGTTTTCCTTGCATAAATCATGCATTTCTCCCATTACTTCCTTTTTAATCAGATGTAAAGTTAAAAGTCTAATTTGACAGCTCTCAAGAAGCGTGTAAAGAAAGATGCAGACAACAGAAGGAAAAAGAACACTCACCTACTGAAAAGCAAAACAGAATATTTCAAAATTACTCCAAACAAATTAAGCTTACCCATTGGGAGGTCAAACTTTCATTCAGATCATTTGTAGGGGGGCGGCGAGTCACTATATACCCGGTTGTTTGATAAAGAACTAACTACAGGCACCGCCAGAGAACAGAGGTTACATAAAATGCTTGCAATGGCTCAGACACACAAAGCACCTTCTTTAAAAATGTTCCTTTCTTTTCCATGTTAAGCAAACATAATTTTTCACCCATCAATACCTCTGCTTCATGGGTATGTATAATTATGCCTTGCCAATTTCTCATGTTTATTTTAATAATATGAAAAACATTGGATTTATGGATTGTTTCATGATACTCAAAATAATGGTATGTTTTTAGTCTGTATTAAAATACACTACCTCTATGCTATTACAAAAGTCAAATCTTTCTTTTAATATGGTTTACTAAAGAGTAAGCAATTAAAATATTCTTAATAACTACCTGTTTTTAAACCTACCATAGATTTTTAATAAATAACACATTTGTATAAATAACACATATGTATACATGAACTTACAAGCCCAAACACACATCTGCATGTATAAGTTTATAATAGACCTAAGCATCTTTACCCAGGGAAAGGCCACGGCCACTGCTGGTCTTTGAGTTCAAACACAGCTACCTATTATTTTTAAACAAGCAATCCTTATTTAAATTTATTTTTTGAATCTACCAATTTTTTTATTAAACAAAGCACTGAGTGTTACTGCTAAGCGTGTTTCCAGCCACTACATTTTTATCTGACAATGGAAAGCAATGTGGAATTACTACAAACCTCATCTTGTACTTTATACTCTATTCCAAAGAGCATCCTTTAACCAACGTCCCTAATGACAAAATAGCATTTCCACTAAGTGTCTGGTGTGTCAATACTTCCAAAGTAAAGAATTTCTGAGGTCCCCTAACATCACAAGTTTTCAACCCCTTTAAGAAACTAATAAATGCACACACAAAAGATTTCTTTATAAAGACTTCAGCCCTATGCAACTTGATTTTTGTAAACCCTGCACAGAGTGTGCTTCTTCAACAGGCGCGTACCAGACCACGGGATCAGCTGCAAGGCTTGTTTCAGGAAAGAACAAGATTCCAATGCAGCTGCAGCAGCTGCCCTGTCTGTCTCGCCCCGCAGATCCAGCGAAGATGTTTCAATCTAGCACCCACAAATTCTTGTTGCCTAACACATAGCCTTTGCTTTCTAGAGGTTAAAGTTTTCCTCTGCTGGTCACTCAGGCCGCTTTTGTGGTTCAAGAAAAGAAATGCTCCTTCAGAATTCTACCTTTGGTTGCAGACTCTGTTTAAAATTAAGAACTTCAAACCCGAGGTCTGAAAAAGTGAAACAGATGGCCAGTTTCTTAATAGTAAATGGCCCCGTAGGTCGGATCTTTCCCCCTTCTCCTCTCTCTTTTTTTTTAATACAGGGTTCGCTTGAAAGGTTAAGAGAGAAGAGAGAGCAAATGTGGACAGTATTGCGAAAACTCCTAAATCTTTTCCTAGAAAACGACGAAGAGAGCCTTCAAAATCCCCGACCTGCATCAACCCGCCTCTCCTGGGAGACCGGAGCCTGACCGTGCACACAAAATACAGTTGGAGAAGGTGGTCTCTGGCTGACACTCAAGCACTCACGTGAGAACGTAATTGACGCTGACGATGCAGTGCGGCCTCGAGGAGCGGCTGTTGTGAACGATGGTGGCGTAACTCTGCACCCAGACCCAACCGCCGTGCTTCGCCAAGAATCTGTAGTACTTGGTGGTCACTTGTCCCTTCACCAACACTAGAAAGACAGAAGTAGATGTGGGCCTGTCCTGGACAGGTCCCAAGTGCTGGGTGGTTTGAGTATAAATCCCCTCATTGCCATACCAACTGCGCCAGTGCAAGTGGGAGAGAAGATGGGCAAATTCCCAATCAAATGACTGGCCTGTTAAACTGAATCGACCCTCCCCCGCCCCACCAATAGCTACCTATTATATGCTAATGATTGGTGTGGGCCCTCCTGGGGCTCCCTAGCACTGGGGAAAACACTAAAAAGTTAGAGGTTTTCCCAGACTGACTTTTCCTGCTGCAGAAGGGCAAGTCCAGCTCTAAATCCTCAATCCTGGGAGATTAAGCTCCCAGCAAAGCTGTCTCAAAAGCTAGGTGAGTTAATGCTGGATGAGGAAAGTAGCCTAGTTGTTTAAACAGTTCTCATCTTTAGTGATGTTTGCAGGTGAAGAATGAGTCCCCACTGGGGGAACGCACCCCCTCCCACTCCGTTAGTATTAGCAGCTAAGACGGGTGGCAGCAGTCCCTTTCTGAGTCTCTCCTACTCCCCCTACCCCTCTAGGGGAGAACCCCCAGCAATTTGCTTGGACTTCAGGCCTCCAGCTCAGCCACTCCCTTGAGAGTAGGGTGGGATCTTACGTAAGTGATGCGCGCAGCGTAGGTGGAAGGTGTCACAGCCATGCACGTGATGGTATAGGGTCTTCTCAATCAAGTCCTGAGGTTCATACCCAGTCAGCTCCGCCACCCTGGGGGAAAAAATCCCTAGGGATGAATGTAGGACTTTTCATCACCTGTGTTCTCGGCCCCATTTCTTGGGCTAGTAAGATCAAGGGAAGGCTCTCCCTCTCTAAACACTGTCGTTCTTTAGAGTCCCTTTCTCGACTGCCCACCCACCTGGAGTCCAGGAAAATAAGCTTCATGTCCAGACTGGCTCGGAACATGAACATGTTGCTGTGTAGTTTGATTTCTGTGACAGCGCTCGGAGGCAGGGAGTGACCCACAGCCACCAAGCCCACATTCTGGTAGCACCCATCGAAGGGCGACATATCCAGGCTGTACTGGCGGATCTTCAGGTAGCCGCTACAGTGAATGACCTGTGATGGAGGGGGAGGGGCGAGACTCAGCAGAGGTCGGGAAGAGCTCCCTAAAGGAAGCAGAGGAGTTGAAACACGTTAAGATTCTACTTGGCCACAAACCATAAGGTGCCCCCAAACGAGTGACCGCACAGCCACGGTGAATTCACTTGGGAGCCCGTAAAAGAAAGAAAATGAAGAGAGAGATGCAAATGGTTGGTTCCCACCAAATCCACATGAATTGGGGCAGGGAGCCTGCTCTCCATTGATGGTGGCATTCAGCTAAAGAACCCCAGCTTGCAGCTAAGGTTTTAGTCCTTCACTCCCTGAGAGATGAATGACTGAAGGGCTCAGAAGCTTTATAGTTCCCCAGGCTCCTCTCTAAGAACAGCCCAGTATCCTGACTTAGTCTTTTAAGTGTCCCTCAGGTACCCACAACGTTTAATGACCTTTCAGGTCTGCGCTCTAAGTGTGGCCCACAAGTGTGGTTCCTGGGGCAGGAACCAACCTCCCTTGCCCCAGAAGCTGCCTGGCCACCCTCAGAGTAGACCTTCCAACTCAACCACACACCTTGTAGCCACCGCAAGTGAGGCCAGCGTTCCGCTTGGCTAAAACACACTTCATCCTCAGAAAGAAGGAGCGTTCAATCTCATACTCTGTGAGAAAGAAGAGGAAGTCTCAGGATGAGAGACAGGCAGCCAAAAGAAGCAGTATCCCAGCCAAGACTAACTGGTGGCAAGCCCCCAAGCTGACTGGCATGAGCACTTGCGGTGGCAAGGCCTGTCTACCTTACCCTGGACGAAATGAGAGTGGTATGGCTGGTGAGCCGTGAGCACCGCTGTCATCTCGTCATGGTCAGCTGGGTGGATGTATTCGTAGATGCTGTTCCCAGTCAGCTCCACCTGTAAAGAGGAGGGGTCACCATCTCTGCAGTTATACAATGCCCCCAGAAGAAGCTGAAAACTTGCATGGGGGGGTCTCTAGGGCCATAAAGATGGAATAGGCTCTGCTGCTTGCTACTTGATGTACCTTATCTAACTCTCAGCTTCCTCACCTGTAAAATAATCATACATGTCAGTAGTAGTGAAAACAATGGCAGTCACGGTCACACCCCTTGGGACATTTGTGTGGAAACTCCTCCCACCATGTCTGGCTTATGGTAAGAATTCTAAACAGTAGCAATTATTTAAGCCTGCAGTAGCAAGCTAAAGGAGAAGGGAAATCCAGGTAGGAGGTGACTGAGTCCCTCTGTCACCTGAGAGGTTTCCAGTGCCCAAATGCAGATATGAAATGGTTGGGAAGCTCTCCCCACAACTCCAGCTGTGAACACCGCAGCCTGGAAGGACGAACCACTCACCTACCTGAGAAAGGCCCAGGTGAACTGATGCTGTCTCAGAAATGTACATGATCTTTCCATCTGGGGCCACCACGAAGATGAAGCCATCCAGAGTCTGGGGAGGCAGAAATAGAGTGAGAGATCTGAGAAACGAAGCAAGGAAAACAGAAGTTAGACACAGGCAGTGCAGAAAGGTGAGGCTGTGACAGACTGTCCAGAAACAGGACACAGAATAACCACAAGAATCTCCTTTCTTGAACTTCCCAAGTCTGTAAGAGCAGCACCCTGACAGCATTGGCGGTCAGAGTGAGGCTATGGACAAGGCTAATGTCCTATAAAGACTCAAGATCCACTCAAATGAGAAAAAAATCTGTGGCTCGCAAAAGTCTATGTGGGGAATGGGATCACAGTCTTCAACATGAACAGGAGGTAGGTTAGGCCTTCAAGGACAGTGGTGCCAGTAAGAACCTCTCTTAATACTGAAGGGTTCCATAGTGGCAGTGATCAACTGTGAAGAGAGAAATAGCTTGACTTAAGAAAGATCCAGAACAGCAGACACTGGTTGACATGGGAGAACTGGCAATTTGAAGTTATAGACTGAAGGAAGCTGGCCAAGACTCTTTCAGAGTCAGGAGAGGGAGATTTAAGGGATGAGAGGCTTTTCTGAGCAATCAGTTGTAAAGTAGTGTGACACTGTGTATGTTCCTGTTTGTTTACACGGATGCATCAAGCTGACAGTCTCATTGTAAAGAAACTTTGGAGACTTTCCCTGTCCCTTCATCTCTGTGGATGAGCTAATGGAGACCTATGATAAACCCAACTCCTCTTAAGGAGCTCAAAGGGACAACCAGCCTGAAGATGAATGTGTTGACCACAAAATTAAGTAGATAGAGATTAATAGGCAAGAGACCCAGTAACTATGCGTTGCAGAGGCCTCAAAGAACTTGAAGGAAGGACTGAAGAAAAGAACACCTCAAGTAGAAGAAACGATGTAGTAAAGACAGAGACTGAGGGAAGGGAAGGGTTAGTCTGATGTGTTAAGAGCTGGTGAGGCTGGTGTGAGATGGGGCTACATAAGCACATACTCAGTGGATTTTTGAAGTTTGGAATGTCTTTTTGGGGACCCTGTAATCGCTCTGCAATCGTTATGTTTCCAAAAGTAATTCTAAGCAAGAATAATATATTTTTGTGTGTTCTTGTTCCCTGGCAGAATGTTCTGCATGAATCAGGATAAGAAGTCCATGTAGCTATCGGCCTGAAATCACATCTAACAAAGGGGAGAGTCTAATTTAAGGGTGGCACTGAATGCAAATTTTATATTAACTTGCTGACAGAAAGAGAAAGTAAGGTTGATTTCCTGGCTTCAATAAGAAGGTTATGCAGAAGAGTGGAAACACAGAGAAACTGAGATTTTGTTGTGAGCCTGTGTCATCTCTCCAACTGGAAAGCAAGATGTTGTGTAAGTAGAAATCTGAGAAGGGAGATAATACATTCTTGTCTTGAATGTCTAGGTGGTAGCAGGAGACAAAAAGGAGTCCAGATGGTGGTCTAAAGACCAGCTTGGGTCACAGGAACTAAACAGTTCAGGTGACAAGTATTGGTTTATGTCTTGCAGAGTCTTTGGAGCTATGAGAGGAGAAAGGAGTTAGGACTTTTCCAAATGACATCACAGGCAATAGTATGACAGAAGAAGAAGAAGAAGAAGAAGAAGAAGAAGAAGAAGAAGAAGAAGAAGAGGAAGAGAAGATAAATTGGGGAAATTGTTGTTGGACCACAGGAAAGAAGAGAGTGCTGTCACTAATGTCACCTCCTTCTTTGCCCAAATGACTCTTTTTCACCAAATCGTCTCTAACTTGGCCCATTTCAATTCAGAAAGGAGGCCTCCTCTCTCCCTTTCTGATTTTGCTCTGAATACCATACCACCAGCAACACCAGGGCATGCCTAAGAATGAAAACATCAGGAAGGCAGGGCTTTTCGTGGGGCACATCACTGTGTCTGCTAGCTGAATTAGTTCAGGAAAGTCCTTGACATCAGGACAAGTGGAGCCTGTGTAGGGCTCTGTGGGGGGGGGGGGATCAGACTGGAGGGAAATGGGAGCCAAGGGAGAGGGGAGTGAAGGACCCCTGAACTTCAGAGTGTTAAAGAACTGCCAGAAGTCTAGTGAAAGGAAAGAAACCCCTAGAAAAGTATGAAGGAAAAAGCTGTTTGGGTTTTTGTTTTCTTGCTCACACTGCTAGGGGAAAAAATATACAGGAACTAGAAGAGACTTCATCTGAGGTAAGATGTTTCAGCAAAGGGAGCTATGGGCTTTTCTAGATAAATTCAAAGCGGAAGTCAGATCAGTAGGGAAATACTCACCCGAGCCCTCTCTTTGTTCAGTTTTTACTTGACTGAAACATCTTGCCTCTAGGAAGGAGAGGGGAAGCAGCACTGGGAAATGAAGGACTCAGCCTCAGGACTCTGTTCCTGTTGACTGCTTCCTAGGCTTCTTAGGTTCCAGGATACTACGCTAGGAGACCCTAGTGGACCCGAATAATAGTAGAGGGTGCAGGTTGAGGGCAAGTGTCAGTCCTAAAAATGCCACTGGGAGTTTTATTATTTAAAATATTTGCTCTGCAACTTAAGCGGCCAATAGGCAGTTAAAAACCCTCTGCACTGCAAATAGCAAGGTAATGGCCACCTCACATTGTTTAAACTCATTACTGGGGGTGCGTATGTGTGTTGTTGTTGGGTTTGCACAGAGCTTGGACTAGCCTGGAGTGAGGGGCACTGACAAAGGGGGTATGCCTGGGAACTACCGGGAAGAGACGAAATGAGTTGCAGACGCAGCTGGATCCGGAATGTGCCGGCTTAAAGCACTGAGGGCATTTGCAGCAGATTCTGGTTATTTCCTTTGCAAATTCTTCATTTCAGACGCTTCTTCAGTCCTGTGTCCCAGGCCTGGTGTAGTGTGTTACAGTTTTCTTAGGCGAAAAGCGACAAACGGAACTCCCTCACTTGGATGGAGCCCTCCTGGGGCCTTGCCAGGCTGATTTGCTACCTTGGTAGTCACTTTGCCTTCCCTTCAACCTTTCAGGCACCACTGGTCCAACCGCACCCAGCTAGATTAAGAACTCAGATCTAAGGGGAACTAACTATTGGGACTCCCTCCCTCTTATTTACCTCCCCCTCTCCCCCAGAAAACAAAAGCCCGGGTGGTGCCCAGGCGGCCGGTAGTCCTGGCGTCTATACCTGTAGTAGATGAGAGCCGAGTTCTCGACCAACGTTGTCCAAGGGACTGGTTCGACTGGTGTGGCCCCACGCCTCGCCAAGCCCTGTGGAGATACACAATCTTCAGTGAAAGACAGTCGGGGGCTAGAATGCGATTACGGTTTCTGTCACTCGGGGAGCGGGAGTAGCGCGGGCTACCACCGCTGATTTCCAGATGCGATCTGGAGGGTGGAAGGCTAGGTCAGCAGGCAGCTCCTGTCCCGCAGGAGTTCTAGAGGCCTCAGCCCTGGATAATTCCAGCACTATCTTCGGAATGGGTTCCTGTTTTCTGGTGGGAAGAGTATTTCTTTTCCCAAGTTTTCATCCTTGTCCTTATAAGCAACCTGAGACCAACGCAAATGGCACTCAAAGAAGCCAGAGGCCACCGGCCATATAGGCTCAGTCCCTGGTGGCCTTTCTGATTGATTCCCCGGGCTTTCTGGACGCTGGTTTCCCTCAGCCTGACCTGAATATTCTTAGAGAAACCCCTATTTGGGGTTGACTTCCAACTTCACTTTCACCAGCATCTCTAGACCCTGCTTTATCCTCCTCATCCTTATTTCCCCTCCCCACAAAAACCACCACCTACTTTTTTTGCAGTCAATTACCTTGAGATGCCAGCCATTCGGCACCATTTTCACTCTCTTCTGGACTTAGAATCAGTTTCCCCACTTGTCAACAAAGACAGGCCATTCCTCCCCTTTGTTTTAGCGTGTCAACTTTTCAAGCCTTTGACACCAACTTTTTTGAATATGCTTTAAGAAATATTTATTTAAGAATCCCCATATATCAGTATAAAATATGGTCTCTACCCGTATTGAGAATGAAATAAAAATAAAAAGATGCATAGGCGTGTTCAACTATTTATGAGTATCTTCTACATGTTGCTGATGAAATTACTTCAGTAGTTAAATCCTTTCGTTTTTTACATCACGAACAAGACTTAATCGTTTTTTTTTTTTGTTAAGGTGACCTTTTCGTTAGAAACAAATACTTTGAAACTTATTTGTTTGACACGTAACAAACATGCTTGAATTATAATATGGAAAGGGGAAGAGTTTTTCACACTAAAATATCCGGTTAGACTTTTTTGAAGGTGTTAGCTAGGACCTGCTTCCTAAGCGAGTGATCAAAACCCTGACAACAAGTAATGGCAAGCGCCCCTCAGGCTCAAATGGGGTCTTTCTGGGTGTTTGCACACCTAAATAAATCTAACGATTTCCGCACTGCTCTGCAAATATTGCGGCTCCACTCCTGCGGCTGCCTCCCTCCGTTGATAGCGCAGTGTGATCCTCCCTGACGCTCCAGCACGTCTGGTTTCCCTCCCCAAGTGACTCTGTGATCCTAGCCCCAGTCATTCTCGTGGACCAGGAAAGGGGGGGGGGGCTGTCACAGTCACCTATACAAATCCCTTCGATTTTGCCATCCCCCCTCCCCTTCCCTCTACTCCCCTCATCCTCTTGAGTTTTGGCCCGGTGAAGGAGTTGGACACATCTAAGGAAAAGAGAAAGGTCCTTCCTTGCTGAGAGTTCCGAGGACTTGAGTGGCGTCAACCTTGGGCCCCTCAGACTCCTCAAAACCAGAAGCTTCGTGAGATCAGAGGACAGGACATTCCCACTGGTCCTCCAGTGGGCTGAGGCTGCGGTTGTCTGAGACTAGCTCTCTAAGCCCCACAAGCTAGCAAAACGGCATTTTAGGCAAACAAACGTCTTTAATAGAAAAATTTGAGGGTCGCCAGGAACCGCCCGGTACTCTAAAGACCTGAAAAAAAATCACCGGGTGGGGTCGCGGGGTTGTCGGGGGCGTGTAAAAAGATCTTGCCTCCTAACTCTTGGCGCCTGTTTTGCTTTGTCGGGTTGTGCCCTCATTAGCATGCGCCTACAAGGGAAAATAAGACTTGCCCACAGGTTAATAAGCAGCCCGAGAGGGTGCGGGTGCGAGCTAACAAGGGAGTCCCTCCCCGGCCTGTGCTTCCCCCCACACACACACGCACACCTGGGAGGAAACTTGGTTTCACAGAGGCTGAGTTCTCTTTTTGTCCGCAGAGAAAACCTGTCACACGGTTGAGGCTGAGTTAATGTTTTATGAGTAACCAACTGCCCCGCTCTGCCAGTGGATCTCACCTAGGAAGGAGCTAGCCCTCCTAAGCGTGGAGGACCTCTCCCCAAACTAGTTCAAGGTTCCCATTTCCCCAAATCTTAAAGTTCTGCCAGGGACCCTCTCACCTCTTTCCTTCGATGAATCTCCCCAGCACCCGGTTTCAGTTGGCAAGGGGGCGGCTGAGATTTCGTTTCTGCTCTTGCCCTACCGCAGAAAATGCCCAAATCCTTTGATTGTCTGTTTAAAATGAGGAGGAACCAGCTCTCTTTGCGGCGGGATTACAGTGAGAACAAGATCTAAAGATCCCCTTGTAACTCGGTGAGGCAGAGGGAACAGGGTTTTTGCAAAGGAGAAAAGGCGCTCTGTGAGGGAGGCGATAACTAAATCAGGTTTCAGACAAAAGGATTTTCCCCAGCTAAAGTGGCTGAAGACAAAGGAAAACATAATCTATTTTGGAAGATTTCCAAGATATGCCACATTAACCTCAGCAGATAAATTTTGCTTCTCTCAGGCCCCTCTCTTCCCTTAAAGTCTGGTTTATCGTATTTACATAAGTAGCATTAGAAGGGATGTATCTATTATGAATCTAAAGGGCTAGCTCACATTTCATGTGAAAACCCAAGCAAGTTTCACTGTTGCTTTACCCTTGGTGCGCGGTTGAGCCATTTCCATTTAAATACCCCCTGACCCAAGGATTACCTCAATGGACTGACTGCGCGGGTTTTGTAATTTCCTGAAAATGAGATTTCGATTTATAAAACAAGAAACCAATTAGTAACCAAATGAGGCGAAGTAGATCCACTAAAATTGACCTAATCCCACAGGCACCATTTAGGCCCGTTCTTGGTGAATGAATGATGAGCCCCAGTCTAGCGCGCGCTCAAAGCATCATCCAGCTGTGTTATTGCAAGCAGCAAAAATAAATTGATCGGGCTTTTCCTTCGAATGAATTTCATGCCCTTGACAAAATACAGATTACAGGCCAGGCACCATTACCGCCTTTGCTCGACCGGAAAGAGAAGAGCTTGTTGTAGTGGCCCCTTCTTTCTTTCCTTCGTCATCAGCAGGGCATCTCCATAGAAATGTGCCCCCCCCACACACACACATGCAATGCCTAGTATGCCTTTGAGGCAATAGGGAAGTGTCCCATGAACCGTCTACCACCGGGGACGCGGTGAGACAAGCTCTCACATATTCCTTCTAACTTCAGGTCCCCCGAGACTAGTAGCTGCTACTTGGGATGAGTGTGTTAAAAAAGAAAGTCAAAACCGCCCAAATACCACTTATTCCTCACTGCAGGACTTGTGAGCCCTGACTGAAAGCACTGCCCGGGCTTGCGCTCCGGGTTCTGGCTCTGAGCGGTTCAGCCACGGAATTTTCTGGGGGTAGAGAAGGTTGTGGAATTGGTGCTCCCGGCAGAACCAATTCCTCCTGCACTGCCAGGGCAAAGCACTTCGTCCAACACCAGAGCGCACCTGTATCTCCATTGGAGTTGGGAATTAACCCAGGCCACTGCCGGAGAGGGGGCTCTCCTGAGGCTCAGTAGACCAACCGCGGCAAGGCCAGTCCTGTATCTCTGCGTGAACCCACAACTGGTGCCCTTCCCCTGCGTGCCCGCCTCTCCCGGGGCAGAGCCAAAGTAGCTGTGCCAGGCATCTTGTAGTGTGTGTGCGCGTGCATGCGTGCGTGTGTGTGTGTGTGTGTGTGTGTGTGTGTGTGTGATTCGCAACTCAACTCAAGGCTGCAGGTCAGTCACTGGTCACGTTCTCCGTGCTTCATCCCGCCCCGGAGTTTATGCTTCCGGTTGGGAAACAGAGGCTGCCAAGCAGGCTGTGTAACTCGGACCGCACCCGCTGCGCGTCACTGAACACTACAAGCACTCGGGGGTAGCAGGGTTTCCCCAGGTCTAGTTTAAAACCGGGGACCAGTGTCCTGCATGTAGGCTGAAGGTGTCATGCGCGATGATCCAGGGCTTTTAGTCTTAGGAAATGCCTGAGGCTTGGCAGTGCCATCTCCACACAAAGACCCGCGCCTCCATGGCAGGGTGACTCCGCACCTGGTGACCTACGGATCCAGCCCTTCCGCGAACAGGGCACGGACCCTATCTCCGCTGAGCTTTTAACCACCGTACTGGCTGAACAAAGGATGTATCACACTCTGATGTCTAGCAAAGCCTGTCCTAAAGTTAGGGGTGACCGATTCTCCGTGGACCTAAGATCCGGTTGGTTTGTAAACTGTGCCCTAGAAGGAGAGATGTCACAAAAAGAGAATCCAATACATCACGCGGACATAGTGGGCTGCGAGCTTTCTGCGATGGAAAATGCCTGCGCCGTAGGGTCGCTGATAAAAAGCGACCCGGGGTGGGGTGGGAGGGTGTGGGGAGGGAATGGAAGGAGGGGAGGGAGTGGGAACTTGGATTAATGTTTTGTTTTGTTTTAAAAATCTATTTTTTTTTTTTAAAGAAGCGACCCGGGGTCTAAACAGAACCACCAGAGTATCAAATCTGTTTCAAACCTGCGGGAGGAAAAATTGCCCACTCTTCCCATTCCGTTCCCACTTTCTGAGTGGCAGGACTGATCCTAACCTAAATCTTGGCGGCCCAAGATGCGGGCAATGAGTGCCCCACCCAAACTATCGATATTGTTACTGTTGGTTTCCTTGTCTTGAGAAATACCTACACTGACAAGGGAATATCGCAAGAATCCAGGAGTCCGCATTCAAAGCTTGCATCTGACTGTAAAAATTCAAAGCTAGCAAGATTCCCCAGAACTGTACGCCCGCCGCCCGCCGCCAAGAAATAAACCAATTCTTCTATATTTAAGGTTGTTTCCTTTTTTTTTTTTTTGAATGGGTGATTGTGTCCTGGTTGAAAGCATCCCACCATTGCTCATGATGCTGTGTTCGTTGTTTGGTATTAATTAATGATGTATCCATTGCCTTAAAAATTGTTTTTCCATTGATCAAGTTCACAAGTTCTAGTCTGCCTTGCACACAGTTTAATTCTGCACTCACTTAAAACAAACATTAAAAATGGAATTCAGCAGAGAAAGCCAGACTTGAGCAAAAACTGTGCTTAAAGGAGGCTTTAAATGAGAAAAACTTGTGTAAGAAAACAAACATGGAAACTCAATACTCAATCATTTCCCCAGGCAGCAAGAAAAACAGCCTTAAATCACACATCCATGTGAGAAACTGGCTTCTTTTTATTCTTTAGGGTTTTTTAATACTCAAAAATATAATGATTAAGAATTTCAGGGTTTTTTATGAATATTGTAGGTCTTGGGAATTTCAACTCTGTGATTATTTTTATTTTTCATACACATATTGACAATGAATCTTACTGATATTACCAAGATTCTAAAGAGATTTGAAAGCATACCTGATCTTTCAGTTTATTCTGCATGACACTGTGCCCCTAGCCAAAATTACTTTAGAACTGGGTAACAACTATGTTATTTTTTGTTTGTTTGTTTGTTTGTTTTTTTGAGTCAAAGTTCTCTGTAACTTTTGGAGCCTGTCCTGGAGCTCCCTCTGTAGACCAGACTGCCCTTGAATTCACAGAGATCCTCCCGCCTCTGCCTCCTGAGTGCTGGGATTAAAGGTGTGCACAACCACCACCTGGCCAAAACTTCTTTTAAAGTTGAATTTGTCCTGTTTTGCACATACATAAAGCCATGCTGGTATTGTTTTAATGCCTTTTTAAATTTCATTTTATGTTATGTGCACTGATGTTTTGCCTACACACATGTCTATGTGTGGGTGGCAGATCTTGGAGTTACAGACAGTTGTGAGTTGCCACGTGGGTGCTGAGAATTGAACCCAGGTCCTTTAGAAGAACAGCGCTTAACCTCAGAGCCCTCTCTCCAGCCCCTTGTTTAAATACCTTAATACCATCTTTCTGGATGGTATTAAGGATTTATTTTTTCTACATTCCTTAAGTTTTCCTTTTTGAGACTATTTTCAAATGAAACATGATTAATCAGATGATCTTCCCCCATGTTGAATGATTGTGCAGTACCCTGCCTTGATCTTCTTCTGATTAAATCTCTAATGCTGATCTAATGCTTGTTCCTCCCCCTTCCTCATTATTCTCCACCTCCACCTGGTTTGGGCCTCAGCTCTTGGAGCAAGGATTACAGGTGTACACCACCAAACCCAATTTAAGAATAATTCTTAGTTATTCCTGAATCATTGTCTTCTTTCCTCCCTCTCTCACTTTGTACTCAACTGTTCAGTATCATCTTTTCGGAATAAGCAAATTAATGCTGAAACATGGACCCAGACGAAAGTCACTACACTCATTGGAGGGGGGCGGTTACAGGGAATAACCTGTTTTCTCTATCCACCTTTTATTCAGGGAAATGTGGGTGAATTTTTTGTTTGTTAACTTACCATGTATCCTTTGGGCACTTCCCAGTAGTATAAAAGTGATTTGGAGAAAAGGAGTTTTTACAACGTCGTTGTGCCTATGGCTGTGCCATCAGATTTGTGATCATTTGAGATTAGACAACCTAGAAAATCTGTCTTATATGTGATAGGATATTTACCATGATAAAAATAGCCGTACTTATTCTTAAAACAAAAATTTATTGAAAACCTACTGTGTAGTAGGACTGCTTCAAGATGTGTAAAGTAACTTCAAATTCTATTTAGCATCACTAAAAAGATTACAGCGGTAAAAAGTGTTCTGTTTTCCCAATGCTTAAAATCAACCCTAAGTAAAGGCCCGTGTGCAATTTGGCACCCCCTGCAGGTAGTGCCTGGTTCTGCGGCTTGTCACTATTTTGCTCCTTTGAAAACTGCTGAGTTTTGTAATTGTTTGCCTTTGTTGTTTTCTTTGCTATCTTAAGGGGCTGTATTTCGCTTTGGGGTTTTTGAAGCTCAAACAACCTCAAAATTAAAACCTTATCCCTAGGTGCCAGCTGTTCTGATGATCCTGGCTAACTCATCGGGTGGAGGCCGCGGGTGAGTTATGAACTCCACAGAAGCTGGAGAAATAAATGATGTGCCCAGAGTTCACACATCGTGCATCCCCTCCTCCTCATAAACTCACACTCACCCGTAGAGAAGAGGAGAGGTGGGAGGGGCCCGGGTTCAGGAAGAGAGGGATACAGAAAGCACAATTTTTCGGTTAAAGTAGCCAAATGGGATGACCTGGTCACCAAGAAGACCTCAGTGGAAATCTTTCCTGCCGCTCTCTTAAAAATAACGAGAATTTGCTTTGGGTCCTTCTATCTCTTTGTAAGGCGATTTTTAATTTTAAAGAGCTACCGTCATCAGAAGAGGAGTCTTCTTTTAAAAACAAAAATAAAACAAACAAAAATACCCAGCCCGGCCCTCTCCACGGTCTGCACCAAGCAGACTAAGGTCTCTGGCCTGTGGGTTCCCGGGCTCTGTTGAGTGACTGCTGGTGAAGTCGGCCCTCTATTCTTCTCCCGCGGTTATTCGCTGCCCCACAAGCGGCACCATATGCTGCTTCTGATCAAACAGCAAGCGACGTCGGCGCCGATAATTGAGGAGACCCACTAGAAATCACGCAGAAAGGGAGCCCACTGAGACCACAGGAGCTGACAAATCTCTGCTAATAATCCTGTTAGGAACAGCGCAGCCAGCGGAGTTCGAAACAGCTTTATTTTTATAAAGTAGGCGCCGACAGCATAAAAGACAAAGAGGTCTCTTTTTAAAGCTGAAGGCCGTGTGGCACAATGGTGATTTTCCCATCTGCAATTCTCAGCACAATTTGGATGTGAAATGTGATTGTGTGTGTGTGTGTGTGTCCGTTCTCCTTGAAAAACAAACCCCAAAACTTTTTAAGTATTATAAACCACGATTTCTCTCCTCTTTGGATTTCAGGGTGAAAGGAGATGTTCAAGGAATTAATTATATAACACCACTAACGGAGTTGAGAGTAGAAATCAACTACTTAGAAGGCTTTTGATGTGGCCCTGACTAATTTGTAGCATTTTTGAAAGCTTTTAAACAAAGATCAAGTGAAGAGAACTTTGTCCCCTAGTAATAACTACTCTCCCCATCAAAAACAGCACCCCTCAAATACCTAAAACCAACAGACAACATGTCAAACGTTCTCACTTGTAAATAAGCACAGATCTTTCTCTAGACGTTTTGTTTGTCTAGTAATCATTCTTTTACATTCTCAAAACTTCTTCCCCTAACAAAATATTTTTTCTATTCTGGTTGTTATTTGGCTGCGAGTAAAGAGCAGCAAATGGAAGATCAAAGCGCCCCTTCCCCAGTGCGCAATAACTTTTCCCAGTGAGCCGAAATGCTTTCACACACGACCATGTTCTGTGAAGGCTGCTTTCCTTCTCACAGTGAATTTGGGTCACTAAAATTCCAATTTGAAATCGTATCTGCTGTTACGTTATTCTAACTTCTAGGCCGTCTGAGAATTTGTCTGGACCTTTTTGCCAGCCCAACACTGAGGATACTTTTCGGCACATTCTTTCTGCTTTCCTTGAAACTTGGGTATTCTGAGCACTAGTTTGGTGAACGTCTTAAATACTCAGAGTCAATTTACCATAAAGAGTCAAGAGACTGATCCAGTCAGGACATACTGTTCGTTTCTATGTCCGCTCGCTCTTCTTGCCGAATTATGATCCTTTTTGAGAAACTGGCTGGCTCACCTTGCTCCACATATATAGGTCTAATCTATACCTAGAAAAAGTAAAAAAAAAAAAAAAAAGCAGGGCAATACTCCTGCTTTCTACTGGATACATTTCTGATGAGAGGAATAAAAAGGAAAGTCGTGTTTGGATTAGCAGTACTTTCAACTGAGCCAAGTATCTGAAGTGTTGACAAAAGCCCTATTGGGCTTTCCAACCGAAAATATCGTGTGGGCTGGAGAGGAAAGTATGGGGAACAGAGAGGGACTAGAAAAAGGACAAGACGGGGCGTTTAGCGCTGACCGCTCAGGGTTAAGTTTCCCTTTGCAGAGAATATATCCCCGCGAGGGCGAATACTAGTACATTTCTCTGCTAGCTAGGTAGACTTACGCCTTCTTTGAAATTCAATCTAGGTACAGCCGCTTACCTTCTGGGAAAACCACTCTCATTTTGAGATAGCTGGTCGTGAGTCTGATTATGGATGCTTTGTCCAGCTGCGAGGTGATGGCTGAGGGTAAAGGCAGTAATTTAGCCAGTTCATAAAATTCACTGTTTTCTTTCTCCCTCCTCGTCCGGGCAGCATTTTTAGACTTTTCTTTCATCGTGTCTCGGGCTCCCTTTCTTCTTACAACGTAAACTCCACAGACTCATCCAAAACCAAAAGTTAACTTTCAATTAGCGATCACACTCGGTAGAAACATAACTTTGAACGAAGAGGCTGAAATCGGCTCCGGGGAGACCGGAATGATGGGAGGATCAGGAAAGTGAAGCAAACAAACACACTTTCTTGAAATCGCGAGGTGTTTAAGGGTAAGAAAGTTGCTGGTCCACAGCAAATCCCGGCAATCCTACTGATTTATAAGTATAAAATGCTGGCAGGACTCCCGAAGAGCCAGCCTTTTCATCGGTTCTGTGGTGAGAACCCCGGTCCTTGGAAAATCGACATAATAATACCCGACGTTTGCTTTTTCGTCCCTCTGGCGTTCGGAGCCGTTTTTTGTGGAGAACTGCAATTCCACGTAACTTCTTTCAGATCACTATGAAAACAAAAGCACCAGAGCATGAGAGATCTTTGGCTCGGCTAGACTCAAACCCACTGCAATTCCGCAAAACGGCCCCAAAGGGCTTCTGCGCCCACGTTCTGCTCGTAGCGACACAAGGTATTTAAAACTTGGAGACTTTGGCCCAAGCCGGGTCGCCCGCAAGTCACGCTTAGATTCGCTTGCCTCTTACTGGGAGATAGCCCCGACGGCTAAACGCACGTCTGCGGAGCCCTCGGCCGCGCACCCAAGCCAAGCTCTAGGGGCCGCGGACTCGGGAGTCCTCCGCACAGAATTCCTCCACTGCCCGCCACCCCGACTGCCTCTTGCGCGCGGAGCTCACGTCTGACGGGTTCCTCGAGAAGTGCCGAGAAGTGCCGCTTACGCATCGAGCCCCAGGGGACTCCCGCAGTCGTACTCCGGGCTCTGTGGAGCAGAGTTAACAGGTGGCACGCGCGACCGCCCCTCGCGGGCATCGCCTGGCGCTCTTGGCGCCTCGGGCTTCACCTACCTTCCGTTGTCGCGCGCCGCCGAGGCTGCCGAGGCTCCCGCCCCCTAACTGCGCTCATGCCTGTGCGCCCGGAGAGCCCCGGCGCCAGCCTCCCCGCTGTCACCCGCAGTCTGCAGGGTGAGCCTGGGCGGCCTTCCCGAGGACATGAATAGGGGAAGGGGAGATAGCAGGAGGAGGAGGAGGACGCGGGCTTGGGAAGGGCGAGGTGTTTTCCGCGCCGTCCTCCTCCTCCGTGGTGCTTAGGAGCCGGTACTGTTCCTAATTGGGAGCCGAAAGCGCCCCCCTGTAACTTCTTTATAGCTTACCGGGTTTAGCTACAACTTCGCTCCCAGGCTCCTTTTCTCCCGCCCTTCTCCAATGTCACTCTCGAGTCTTCCCTCTTCCTATTGGCCAGACTCACCCCAAGGCGCGGCGCTCATTGGCCAATCGGGCTGAGTGACTCGAGTGCTCCCTTCGCCACCCCCCACGCGTTTGGGCTCGCGGCTCGGGTCCTACGACGCTCCTGGCAGCTCCGCTCCTAATGAGCCCCGGGCAACGGGGTCGCCGCTGCCCCGCTGCCGCCGCAGCTCCCGACCCCGAGGCCTGCCTTCCGCGTACTGTGCGCCACTCGCGCTCCCTGGACTAGGGTGTCTGCACACACGCGGCCTTGTTCGGGCTGGGAGCTTTCCGAGGCGGCAGGCTGACCCCGGCTCCAGGAAGGGAGGCGACAGTAACCCAGAGAAGGTGGCCAGGATTTACCCACGGCAGAGTCCCTCATGCCTGCAGGACCCGGTGAGGGAGACCGACGCTGGGCCTTTTTACCCTGACATCACTGTGATTTTTCTTCACCAGATGAAATAAATACCTACCTTTAATTCCTCCAAAAAGGGGCGTCTTTTTGAAATGATTCGCGTTTGTGGCTGATGCGATGGACAGCTAGCTCTACTGGGCAGTGTCCTATGGGAAACAGAGTGGACTGTCGGGAGAAGGAGGTGATATTTGAGATCAGAATGTTGGAACAACTAGTGTACTGATAGACGTCTCACAGCGTTGTTATCTAAACCGCTGTGCAACTCTGCGGGTTTTATTTCAAGAGACAAAAGACCAACATGAATATTCCTTCCAGAGTGGGAAGTCTAACTGAGAGAACTTGAAAGGTACACATTTCCCAACCGTTCTCAAACGTAATTCACAAGATCTGTTTCTGAAAAAAACTGTAGTTTAGAGACCCTCCAGTTTTAAGAATATAATAGACCGCAATAAAATAAAAAAGAAAGAAAGAAAAAAGTTAAGTTTCCCTTAAGACAATGCAGCTCACAGATATCATCCTTGGTTTCGCATGCGTTTGAAGTCAGCAGCACACCGGGAACGGTGCGCTCTGCTCCTCTTTGTGGCTCTTAGAAAATAAATTCTCTGAAGAGAGTCGTGTGCCATGGTGACTCGGCTCACCTTTAAGAGTGTTCGTTGAAAAATAAGAAGAAATCTGTCATCTCCTTGTCCCCCGTCTCCCAATGGCATTAGGCTCCTTGGACAATGGGAGTGTTCTGGGGTGAGCGACACCTAGAAAGAGGTTTGGAGAGAAAGAAAAAAGAAACTAAACTAAGAAAAAGGACTAAACTAAGACTGTGTAGATGTTTCAAAACCGGAACCAGTTAACAGGGCTTTAATTAAGAAGGCGGAGTCATTTCCCCAGTGGCTGTAGCCACTTAAAGGCCCGATTCTGGGTGGGTTGGGACCATCTTCCATCTCAAGATACACTGTCAATGGGAAGTGAGCAGCGCGGTAGAGGTGTCCTGTGGCTCTCATGCAAGATTCCATAAAAAACAGATAATCTCAAGTTTCTTACTGTATGATATGTGTGATGCTGTGTGTGTGGTGGTGTGATAGTGTGTGTGTGTGTGTGTGTGTGTTAAAGGTCTTTGGTGACTCTCTTTTCCACTAACCTGCACAGATCTCAGGATGAGACCAATCAAACTAAGCAGCGGCTTTCTGCTCGACTGTGTTCTGGACAAGATTTGTGCAGCCTGCCTTTGCTTCACACCCCATCTCTACTTCAAACGAAGCGCAAGCTGTGGAAGTGCCTCTCTGGGGCCTGAAACCTGAACCTACCGTCTGTGGGGGTTGGTGGAGGAGTCTGTGGAGGCCAGGCTTTCTCCAAGGACCCCTTTGAAGAGGAACAGTAATATTTTGCCTTAGGGGAAAGGGGCAAAATGAGGATGGAAGTCTTGACGGCAAAGCAAGTGTATGACGGCAAAGCAAGTGTACAGGGGATCCGAGCAAGTCCCTCCAAGATCCCCCAGAAGTTCAGCTGTCCACTAAGCTCCTGGAGACTTCCTTTAATATAGTCAAAGCCCGATCCAGAGGTGATCGCCCCTCCTTAAGTCTTCAGCACACAACTGTCAGGGCTTCATTTACCGAAAGACTGAGTCAGCCAGGCAACGTACCACCTGTTTTTCTAATCTTTGTGCTGGAACTGGCCTCCTTGGCTCCCACGCCGGGCACCTGGACCCCGCCCGCCAGCCCCTCCCGCGAGCGATCCCTAACAGCGAGGGACACCAGCTGGGAGCCCCAACCCCGGGTGTCGCCCACGTGCTCGTGCTCGCGCTCGCCTCCGGCGTGGGAAATTTTAAACAAGTTTCTTGAGTCTGAGGGCTAAATCTATCCACTTATTTGCCAACGCAAGAAGAAAGAAACCCGCACACGCGAGCCACCCCTGCCAAGCAGGGGTCTGCTTAGACTAGTCACCTCCCGAAGCAAGGAGATTTTGGGAACACAGATTCCCAAAGCCAAACCATACTAACCCCCTCCTTTCCTCTCTCAGTAGGACTAACAGCCAAGCAGAGTGGCCACAGCATTCTTCTGAGAGTCCGTCTCCCCAGGGGCACCCGGAAGCTGGCCGACGGGAACCCTTGGGGGCGTGAGGGGTTCTCAGACTTCGTCTGCAGACGCCAGGGACTTTGGGCACAGCAGGTTTTCCGAGCGGATTCGAGAACTGGCGGAGCCTGAGCTGCCAACCAAGTCCGGAGAGCCAGGGCGGGGCCTCGACAGGGAAGGCGGGCTGACCTTTCTCGATCTCAGATGCAGATAAAGTCCAAGCTAGAGCCGCGCGAGCTGAGGTTGCACACGGACAAGGGAACGCTGAAGGGAATCCCAAGACAAGCTGCCAAGCTGGGCTTCAGCGCAGCAGCCCGAACCTGCACTGTGGTGCTGACCCCTGCTCTGACACAGACTTCTCACATGCTTCCTCTAAGCCTTCGGAATGCCACAACATTTGGACATCCTAGATCTGCATCTTAGTGACTTCTACAATCAGGCCGCCAGAGATACACATGCACCTCTCAGGTGTACAAAGAACATAGATAAAAATTATAATTAATGGCAAGATCAGGATGAAAGGCATATTTATAAAAACTTAAGCAACTAAATATGTTATATACAGAGCTCAGCTCTCTACCATGGAACAATTTAGGAACATACTAAGGCCTTCAGAAATAGTTATATTTTTCTTCCATGAACACATGTTGATGATTGTAATGCTATCTTGGACCTCCGGGAAGATTGTGACGGCTCTTGTGAGGTTGCTGTGATACTGAAGGACCCTTTGCCCCTCTTGTGGGGGAGAGCCTGTCATAAAAAAAAAAAGGGATCGCCAAAACAGTGTCAAAATTAGTATTTTAAAAATTGCAATAAATGTTTCTTCTCTAGGGATCTTCTCAGGAATCTCTGAAAGTGGATAGGTAGAGTGGAAAGGAGAGAGAGAGAGAGAAAGATATATA